TTGCGGCCGTTTGTTTTGGACACTCGGGTGAAGAGAGGAGCTCAGCTGTCAACTGATCACCACCTAGTAGTAAGTTGGATCAGATGGTGGGGGAAGATGCTGGACAGACTCGGTAAACCCAAACGTGTAGTGAGGGTTTGCTGGGAATGCCTGGCAGTGGCAGAAGAACCCATCAGAGAGATCTTCAACTCACACTTCCGGGAGAGATTTAACCACATCCCAGCTGAGGTGGGGGACATTGAGTCAGAGTGGGCCATGTTCCACACCTCGCTTGTTGAGGTAGCTGCCTTGAACTGTGGCTGCAAGGTTGTCGGTGCTTCTCGCGGTGGCCATCCACAAACTCGGTGGTGGACACCCCGGGTTACGGAGGCTGTCAAGCTGAAGAAGGAGTCCTATCGGGCCTTGTTGGCCAGTGGGACTCTGGAGGCAGCTGAGGAATACCGGAGAGCCAAGCGGTGTTCAGCCTTGGCTGTTGCGGAGGCAAAAGCTCGGATGTGGGAGGAGTTTGATGAGACCTTGGATAGAGACTCTTGGTCAGCTCAGAGGAGATTCTGGCAAACCGTCAGGCAGCTGAGGAAAGGAAAGCAGCACTTTACTAACACTGTGTTCAGTGAAGGTGGGGTGCTGTTGACCTCAACCAGTGATGTTGTCGAGAGGTGGAAAGAATACTTCTCGGACCTTCTCAATCCCACCAGCATGTTTTCCATGGAGGAAGCTGAGGCGGGGGACTTTGGGGGTTGATCCATCCATTTCCGTGGCTGAGGTTGCAGAGGTAGTTAAAAAGCTCCCAGGCGGCAGGGCTCCGGGAGTGGATGAGATTCACCCTGATTTCCTTAAGGCTCTGGATGTTGTGGGGCTGTCTTGGCTGCCACGCCTTTGCAACATAGCTTGGACATCGGGGGCAGTGCCACTGGATTGGCAGATTGGTTCCCCTCTTCAAAAAGGGGGGCCGGAGGGTGTGCTCCAATTATAGGGGCATCACTCTCGTTAGCCTCCCTGGTAAGGTCTATTCAGGAGTACTGGAGAAGTAAATCCGATCGTTGGTCGAACCTCAGATCCAGGAGGAACAATGTGGGTTCCGTCCTGGCCGTGGAACACTGGATCAGCTCTTTACCCTCACTAGGGTCCTTAAGGGGTCATGGGAGTTTGCCCATCCAGTCTACATGTGTTTTGTGGACTTGGAGAAGGCATTCAACCATGTTCCTCAGCGTACACTGTGGGAGTTGCTCCGTGAGTATGGGATTGGAGGCCCGTTGTTACGGGCTGTTCAGTCCCTATACAAGCGGTACGAGAGTTTGGTTCGCATTGCCGGCAGTAAGTCGGACCCCTTCAGGGTGGGAGTTGGACTCTGCCAGGGCTACCCATTGTCACTGATTCTGTTCATAACTTTTATTAACAGAATTTCTTGGTGCAGCCAGCTGGCGGAGGGTTTCTGGTTCGGTGGCCTCAGGATTCCATCTCTGCTCTTTGTAGATGACTTGGTCCTGTTGGCGTCATCGTGCCGTGATCTTCAGCTCTCACTGGAACGGTTCACAGCCGAGTGTGAAGCGGCTGGGATGAGAATCGGCACCTCCAAATCTGAGACCATGGTCCTCAACCAGAAAAGGGTGGATTGCTCTCTTCAGGTTGAGGGTGAGGTTCTGCCTCAAATGGAGGAGTTCAAGTATCTCGGGGTTTTGTTCACGAGTGAGGGAAGAATGGAGTGTGAGATTGACAGACGAATTGGTGCAGCAGCTGCAGTTTTGCGGACTCTGTACCGGTCTGTTGTGGTGAAGCGAGAGCTGAGCTGTAAGGCAAAGCTCTGTATTTACTGGTCAGTCTACGTTCCTACCTTCAGCTATGGTCATGAGCTCTGGGTAGTGACCGAAAGAATGAGATCATGGACACAGGCAGTTGAAATGAGTTTTCTCCGCAGGGTAGCTGGACTCTCCCTTAGAGACAGGGTGAGAAGTTCAGTGATCATGAGAGACTCTGAGTAGAACCGCTACTCCTCCATATTGAGAGGAGCCAGTTGAGGTGGTTCGGGCATCTGGTAAGGATGCCCCCTTGGCGCCTCCCTAGGGTGGTGCTTTGGGCATGTCCAACAGGGAGGAGACCCCTGGGAAGACCCAGGACACGCTGGGGAGACTTAGTGTCTCGGTTGGCCTGGGAACGCCTTGGAATCCTCCCAGAAGAGCTGGAAGAGGTGGCTGTGGAAAGAGATGTCTGGGCCTCTCTGCTCAAGCTGCTGCCCCCGCGATCCGACTTGGGAATAAGCGGAAGATAATGGATGGATGGATGGGTCCCAGTTAATAAATAAAAAATAACAAAAATATAAAGTGTAAAAGAAACAGAAAACAAGGATCTAAGACATAAACTAAACACTAATAATGTAAAACAATACGGCGTAAGAACAGCAGCACGAACATGAGTCTGTGTGAGCAGATGGGTATGAATGAATACGGCAGCATGAAATCAGCAGCATGAGATCAGCAGCATGGACAAGTCACATATCACCAATTAAAGTGGCATTACAGTGATTATCTTGGTTATGGATTTATGAGTCTAACAGCTGCTAAAAGACTCATAAATCTCTAACCAGGATAATCACTGTAAGGAAATAAATCAACAAAATTCCTTTCATCCTTGTTGGCAAAAAGAAACTAGCGGCTGCCGTCAATCATGTGTGACCTGTTTCCCTCCTCAGGTGTGATCAGTGTGGCGAGGGCTTCTCGGGGACCTGGGCTCTGAAGACCCACATGCTGGTTCACGGTGTGGAGAAGCCCTTCATGTGCGACCTGTGTGGAAAGACATTCTTCTACAACTGCCAGCTCCAGAAACACCTGCAGCTTGTCCACGGTTCTGCAGACTGCCGGCAGTCTGGTGCAGCGGGCCGGCGCAGACTGACCGGTGCCAGACCTTTCAGCTGTAAGACCTGTCTGAAGAGTTTCAGCAGCAGCAGCACGCTGAGGACGCATGAGAAGAGCCACAGCCAGAACAAAGAGTTCTCCTGCAACACCTGCGGGAAGACCTTTCACCTGCGCCACCTGTTCCTCTACCACCAGCGCCAGCACAGCAATGACCGGCCGCACGTCTGCGTCTTCTGCAGCAAAGGATTCCTGCTGGCGTCGCAGCTCAAGCAGCACGAGCTGCTGCACACCGGAATCAAACCGCACCGCTGCGAGGAGTGCGGCAAGGAGTTCAGGACGCCGCAAAACTACCACCGCCACCTGCTGGTCCACACGGGAGAGAAACCGTACAAGTGCAGCGTGTGCAGCAGGAAGTTCAGGCAGTCCAACCAGCTCAAGTCCCACATGCAGATCCACACCGGCATCAAGCTGTACTCCTGCGACCGCTGCCAGCAGGGCTTCTCCGACTCCCGGGCGCTGAAGAAGCATCGCTGTGGAGACGACTCCCAGGACTCTCGGGAGTCCAGCAGCAAGCACAGGAAACAGACAGAGGAGTTCACCTGGACGGTCGAGTTCAGCAGCTGATCACCTGAAACGCGTAGAAACAAGCGACCAGAAAACAACAAGTGGAGCGGTTGGAGCAGCGTTTCTCTGTAAGTGGCCGAAGCTCTAAAAGCAGCAGGTGACTGAACAAAGGTGAACCTGAGTCTGGTCGACGCACTGCTGACACTTAAAACTGCTCTGTTCACAAACCGGTGATCTGTGGGATTTTCTTGCATTAAAATAAATCTGAAGACTTGTTTTCAGCGCTCTGTTTCTCAGTTACACAACTCTGGTGCCAGGAGGGATCCATGATGCCGAGCGCAGCTCCGACCGTCACTTCTCAGGAAAAACTCCAATCAAATCTTTTTAGTTTACTCATAAACACAGTGAAGCAGGAAAACTGTAAGGATTTTATTAGCAAACGTTAATGAATGATCTGTTAGTGAATTAACTGTTAGTTACATGTTAATTATCTGTTATTACATATGAATTATCTGTTATTTATGTGTTATTAAATGAATTATCTGCTATCTGTGACAGTGGCTCAGTGAGGTGGTCTACCAATCAGAAGGTTGAATTCCCTCCACAGGTGACCTTGGGTATTTGGTGACCCTGTCTGTGTAAAAATTGTGGATCAAAATTTCTCGAGCCACACTGCCCTTGTGCCACCCTCAGGACAAGCTTTTGGAATTTTATTCTTGATTAAAGTAAATTTTGCAAAGGGTTTTCTTTATATATATTTTTTAAATGTTTTGTTGATAATTGACACCCTGCATACCAGTTTGTGTAGTTTTTTTGTATAATAAAATAAATCTTTTTTTTAAACATATTTATTAACGGTTGGCTTATTTTAATATTTTAATTACGTATATTTTAGTTGCCTATAGTATCTCGTTTCCTGTTTTTTATTTAAACAAAATAAAAAACTTAAAATGCTTCACAATGTTTTAAGTTATTACTTTTTGAAATATTTTGCTAACAGACAAGGTTGCATCTTTTAATTTAACAGCAAAAAAATAAATAAAACTGATATTTAAATGTGAACAGGTGTTATTTTGAGTACTTAGGGGAGACTCTCAACTACTACCACACCAGATAAACTACACGCTCGTCTGTAAAACCGATGGACTCGGAGACATTTTTGAGTTTGTCTAAATAGCTGTGGCAGCCATTTTGAATGGGGTTGTCTCCAAATGTTATTCTGTTATGGACATACATCAAATGATTACTTTTAGCGTATTAAATCTGTCCAGTGCTTCATGAGATGTTTTGCTAACAGTCAAATTATACACAGTGAGACGCCTTTTTTTATTATTGTTGCTGGACGATAATAAATATGTAGGAGTAGAGATGAATAAATCAGTTACTGATAAACAAATCTAATAAATGTCTCTTTTGTATCAAATTCTGTTTTTATAATAAGTAATTAAAGTTCAGATTTACAGAATATCTCAGGAGTTTAAAACATTTCTGTTCGGAACACGTCGTTTCACGTTCCGTCCAGCAGGGGGCGCTGACGCTCCCGTCAGTGGCTCCGTCCTAAGAAGAAGAAGAAGAAGAAGAGAGTATTCTGCGCAGGCGCATTACATCAAACGTTTAATACCGTGGGTTTTCGATGTTAACCTTTGACCTCCGTTAACCAGGAGCTCTCCGGGGACTCTCGGGAATTTCCGGGAATTCGAGCATAAACGAGGCGTCGCGGGCCTATATCCGGTGGCTGTTAGCGGTTTCCCCCCAACCCGAACCAACTGCAACACAACGGAAGCTAACGTTAGCCTCCACCGAACCCGAGGGAGCCGTCACACTTTACAACCTGGGTTCAGGTGGGTCTCGGGCCGGGTTCTGTCTCTGTAGAAGAGTTTGGACCTGACGGGGACATCTGCAGATACATGTTTGTTCTGGTTCCAGTTTTTGTTTATACTGGGTTGGGTGGGGAGGGGGTTGTGTCTGATTAAATCAGGAAACGGGTTCGGTACCTGCTGAGACACGGTGGGTTCGGCTGCACCAACACTCTCCGTCAGAACTGACCCGAATGTCCTGAGAAGAAGAACCGAGCTGGAAGCCTCTGCAGAACCTGCACAGAACCACAGTTTGAGGCGGAGCTGCTTTACTGAACAGGTTTTAGTTCGGAGTGTGGTGTTCTGGTGGTGCTGACCATAAGAACCTCTATCAGAACCTCTTCAGAACCGCAGCTGACACTCAGAGACGCCAACAAACTGATGATGAGGAGGATGGGTTCTGTCTACAGAACCAGATTGCTGACTTTTGTGCAGCTCTGACCCGCCTGCCGGTACCGATGTAAGATTTGCATTTTATTTTGTTGATCCCAGAGGAAAAGTTTCACACCCCATCGTCTCCTGTTGGGTTCAGTGTTGGAGGATGACAGCTGCTACCTTAAAGTATCGGGTCAGAACTTGTGACAGAACTCATCTTGTTTGTTTCAGGCTGAAGAAGAGGAGGATGACGAAGATGTCTCCGGTGTCCTGCCTGGAGCTGGATGTTGGTGGGACCAGAGAGTCCACCCTGAACCGGGACGACTGTCTCTGTCCGGTCTGTCTGGAGATCTTCATAGAACCTGTCACACTTCCCTGCACACACACCTTCTGCAAGGTAAC